GCACACAGACAGGGAGAGAAAACACCTGGCGGTCTCATTGCAAAAGTCTTTCACAAGGTCCATGAATCAAATGAGCTCCACCCTCTGTCTCTCTCCAGCTACCCAGATGGTCTATGTCTTCACAAGGAGCAGGAAAGCACGGTATTCAGCAACACAGGCCCCTGAGCCAGGCTGCTGGGATTCAGATCCTAGGCTCACTGTTTCCCAGATTCGGGCCTTTGAGGAAGCCACTTAACCTCCCTGGCCTCACTCTCTACATTTGTAAAATGAACATAAAAGCAATCTCTATCCCACGAGGATTAAATGAGAAACACAGGTGGAGTTTCTAGCACATCTTCTCATCCTTATCCTTGTATAAGGCCACTTTCTAGATGAGCAGCGTGTCCAGGCCTTGGGAATGTTGGTGGCCCCTTTCCTTACGGATTCTGTCCTATAAGACAGTAGAGGACTCAGCTCAGAGGGAAAAACGGACACCAAGCTTACTTTACCGAGACTTGTGTGCCAGAGCCTAGAACGGTACCTGGTGCAAATGGGCGCTCAAGGATTAGTTGTTGAATGAACCAATGAATCAATGGGCTTACTCACAGCTCAATCAAGTGTACTCACTTGCGTACACTTAAAAAATTCCCAAAGTCCAGAGTCAGAATTTGCCAATGCTGCCCATCAGACCCAGGCCAGGATTCAGGCAGGCCTCTGCCATCGCCACACGCCTGGGAATGCTGGACCAGATCTGAAAAGGGAGATGAAGAAGCCAACGACAGATGGGAGTCCTTTAGAAGGTCAAATCCGTGGCCCTGTGTCTTAGTGATTCCCAGCCCTGGCTTCTGGCACTTGCCTTGAGCTACCATTCACAGGAGACTTTTCGGCTCTTCCTTTGTTTCTTTCCAAAGGGCTTTAATTAAAAACACATTTCCATACCACAAAAAGCACTCCAGCTACAGCTGCGGCTCCCCAAGGGGCAGAAGCTGTTTTCACGGAGCCATCAAGTCTCAGGTGAGATGATCATGGGTGAGTCACAGCGCCCTGGGGTCCCTCAACACTATGACAAAGATGTGTCTTCCACATCTAGGTGTCTCATTCTCTAGCCTGGGTTTGAAGAGCAGGACTAGCAGAATCCCGAAGCGAAATAAGGAAAAGAAATAGCCAGGACTGGCCTTCTACTTTTACAATAATACTAACCATTCTGATTTACTATTCCAGGCACTCTGCATCCCAGCCTCAAAAGAATCTGTGAAAACGAGTACTGCTGTCACCCCTTGTTCCCTGAAGAAACAGAGGCTCAGAGAGCTGGAGGAATTAATTGCCCAAGGATGCACAGTGTGGGAGTCGGACGCTGGAGTCTCCAAGCTCAGATTCTCTCCACTGCTCCTTGGTTTGTCTTCTCTGCAAATCCCAGATCCAGATGAAAGGCATCCTGACCCTACCTGCACCCACATCATCAGCATAAAAAGTGAGCCTTCTATCATCTGAAATGGAAAACCACTTTCGACACGGTCTGTCCAAAACCACCACCACCAGCAGTACAACAGCTCATTCTCGAGGGTTCTGTGCTAAGATTCTGCAGTCTCCTAGAGTTAGCCAATGCCTCTGTAGAGGCCTGGTGTCCCCACCCCCCAAAATGTCCATGTCCGAATCCTAGAACCTGTGTTGTTTTCTATGGCGAAAGATGTGATTAAGCTAAGAATCTAGAAAGAAGTGGCTCATCCAGGATTATCCACATGGGCCCTAAATACATCAAGGTATCCCTCTCTGTGTTGTTGTTCCTCACAGCTCTTCAAAAAGCAGGGAGTTTCCAGACAGACACACGGGAGGCAGTGATGTGAAGATGGAGGCAGAGATTTGAGTGATGTGGCTACAAGCCCAGGAACACGCAGGGTGGTAGGCAGCCACAAGAAGCTGGAAGAGACTCCAGAACCTCCAACGGGAGCATGCCCAGCCGACACCTGGATTCCAGACTTCTGGCCTCCAGAGCTGTGAGAGCTATTGCTTGAAGTCCTCACGTTTATGTTAATTTGTTACCACATGAAGCCATGCACGCTCCTAACAGGCAGCCTTGTTTGGCCAGGTCCCATCAGAGGTCAGGGGTGATGTGGCTCGGAGATTGAGAGTTATGAGCGCCTACATGTGGTCTCAGGGTCACTTAGTAACAACAAATCCACAGATGGATGAAATTAGAAGATGCTCCGATTGAAAATAAACTCTTGAGGTCGGAAGGAACCAAACAGCTCGAGAGAGTGTGTTGAAGGACAGGGACTTAGCCTGGTGTCTGGGAGACTGGAAGCTGAACTGCTGAGAAAGACAGGCTTGGGGGAAAGGAAGTCCCATGTCAGGGTGGGAAGAGCCCCAGAGAATTGCTCGAATGTGGTAAGGCAGTAAACTTGCGGCGAGGTGACCCATATTTTGAATTTTAAAATGTGATCTTTGCTCAGGCTGGCTGATGACAGAGGGACTGTCCCCACTCCCACCCAGCTTTTTTATTTTTTGCCTTTGTAACAAGGGCACTGAGCTACCTTCCAGCATGGCTGAAAGATTAGGAAAGACGGACACCTTGGAAATTCAAGAACACAAAATTTGGAAGCACTCTGGCAAGTCACCATTCCTTTGGTTCTCAAAATACACAGAGTGAGTTGGCTAATGTCACTTATTCTTTCCTTCAACAAATATGCATCAAGTACCCTCTATGTGCCAGGCACTGAACCAGGTCCTTAGTAGAGAGCAAGGAACATAAAATCCACAGTTCTGACCTCTTGGAGAGTTCTCTAGGGCAGTGGTTCTCGACGGGGCATGATTTCGCCCGCTGGGGGATATCTGGCAATGACTGAAGACATTTCTGGGTGTCATATAGTGCTGGGGGTGCCGCGGCATCTAGTGGGAGGAGGCCAGGGATGCTAACAACTGACAGTGCATAGGACAGTCCCCCCCAACAAAAGATGTCAATATTTTGCTAAGTGGCACTCTTAGTGGCCTAACCAGGGCCACATCCACTCACACGACGGTGGGTGAGGGAAAATCAGGAAGCTGGAAGAGCACCGTAGGAGGGAGACATCACCCACTACCACCTACGCTCAGACCTGAAAGATGCGGGGGAGTTATCCGGGCAGGAAGTGGGGCTGCAGGAGCAGAACAGAACCTTCCAGAAGAGGGGAAAGCGTGTGGCTGAGCGTGCGGGGCAGAGGAGGTGGGGCAAACAAGGACACCCTTCAGAAGGACTGTCCCATCACTCCGGGAGAAGGACCATCTTAATGATACCAGGAGGCATAACTCAGTGTTGAGCACCGGTTTGGGGTCAGATCTGAATTTAAATCCCATCCTACTAGCTGTGCAGCCTTGGACAAGACACAGACTCAGAGTTTCTAAACCCAGTTTTAGAAAATAAAGCGTGTTGGGGGGGTAATATCGATCTCAGGTGGGGCTATTAGCATTAAAGGAGAAAAGGCACATAAATGCCTTGGCCCGCGGCCACCAAGAACAGATACTGTTCTGATTTGTTTTCAAAGGTCACTCTGGGCCCAGTGTGCAAAATAAAATGGGGAAGGACAACCAGAATCACTCCTCTCTGGGAACACAAAAGCAAACAAAAACAAAATACTGAAGATTTTACAGAACAAAAACTAGCTTGAGCAAAGCACAGCTTCCAAGGAGCTTTAAAGTCCTTGATGACAACCCTGTGTAGCCTTAAGTAACAACAACACCACGAACAGCTTCCAGGCCATCGAAATTGTGCCCTTTGGAGGTACAGTTGTCCTAGAAAAGTGGAACATACATACACAGGTTTCCCCCGCTATCCGAACGTAGAGCGTTCCTGGGGAAACTTTTCTAAGCAGAAATCCAGGCGCAAAGTGAAGAATTGCCGTGAATTTATATGGAAAAATTTTGAGCATTCCCAGACCCCAAAATAACCTCCTTTAGCCTTGTCTGATACCTTCGGATATCAGACATCCTGCTTACGGATGCACAAAATAAATCGAGGTAAGCACAGACGCGCAGGGACCCCAGTTCAGACCTCTGCCAGCTGGACGCCGAGATGTCGGGTGAGGCTCCTGGGGCCACCGCCGCTGGCCCAGGGCGCACAGCCTCGGTACCCGCTCGCTGCAAGACACATACTCAACGCTATTTTCGCTTTTCACCTTTTTCTGGCAAAAGCGAAAATCCTCTTAGGATTTCTTTCAGTTCGTGAAAACGGGCTAACATAGGTCTTTTGTCAAAGCAAAGGGACATTACACGACCTTTCGAATAGCTGGGGTATTCCCGTGCACCCACCCATCCTAATCAGCCTGAGAAATGACCGCAGCGGAGACCTCAGGAAGATCTTTACTGTGGCCCCTGGTTGGTGGTGATGATGATGAACTTGCACCCTTACCAGGATACAGCCACAGAACTTGGAGTCCCACACACAGCAAGGCTCCACCATACGAGCCGCTAAGTGATTCGCCTTGATCCGATTTTCTACAAACCTTCTTCCTCAACATCCACTCACTGTCAGAGAAAGGTTTTCAGTCCGACACCCTGGCACCTCTCCCTGCGGGCGACTCTTAGAGAGAAGTTAGAATCCTTCCACATCAGTGGTCCTTCAATGGGAACAATGTAGTGTCTTAAATCCATTCCTGGGGAACTAAGTGTCCTTAACCAGAATTCAGCCCTTTCTAAAGCTGGATACTGTGAGAGAAGGACAACTAAGATCTACGAGATGACTGTTTTATAGTTGGAAGCGGGACGTGGACTCTCTTACTGTGCTCTGCTTTCAGAAACGAACTAACTCGGTACACAGGTGTGCCCAACAGGCGTCGAGAATGAGAGAAAGAAAAAAAAAACACAGACCAACCCACGAAAAGAGTGCAAGACCACTTTTGGATATCCAAGTCCCAACCCACCGCCCATACCAACCATGTGGTCTGGTCTTAAGTTCCAGCTCCGGAGGACGGTCCTCTCGCAAGAAGGCGGGTACGGCTTCCCCCAAGGCGGAAAATCCAAATCACAGAAACGAGTGACCAGCCTTGATCTGCACGTACTAAGTTGCTTTTATTAATCCAGAACGGCATGCTACAGATATTGTACAGCATGAACATTTATTCATTACAAAAATGGCTTCCAAACCATTAAAAATGAAATTGGAATAAGAGCATAAAACGGAACAGTAACATCACAACTGTTAGGAAACATTCAAAGTATTCACAAAAAATGTTATAGTTAGCATTTTAATAAACCAGAGAAAAATTGGAGACAGTTTTACAATCGCTTCATGTCAACTACAATGGCACTGAATGAACAGGTTTCAGCTTTATACAGCATTTTGCAACATCAACATGCCTAGGTTTTTTTTTTTTTATTTGTAAAGTGTGCCACCTCCTTGTATGTCATACGTGTACATAAAAGCGGCAGCTGGTTTTTCCTTTAAGAGCAATCTAATATACAGAATTTTTGGCCCCTAAGGGTTTATACCTCTTCATTTAAAATGCTTTCTGGACAATCTGCTACCAAACACATCTTGTTATAGGTGACAATAAAACTACATACAAATCTACCTATGTAACATCACAGCAAAACATGATGAACAAAAATTACAGCATCAAAAAGAGGGAGAAAGCTAAAGTCACTGAGAATTTTGGCACATAAAGTTTTGCACACAGGCCGTGTCCTAAGGGTACAGAGCTGCCGACTCTGAGTTCGGAGGGGAAACAGGGTGGTTCCCGCTGCTGCTTACACGGCGTCGCTAAAATTCCCTCGCTAATTTTCAAGTCTTGGTTTACATAATGGCTTTTAAAGCAACTTTTGTTAATGCTACTGATCCTTTAATGCAACTAGTAATGTCCGTTTGGCAGCATCTGGGTTTCATACAGCCAAAAAAAAAAAAAAAGTCAAAAAGAGAAACAGAAAAATATATATACACATTTTATATATAAACTTAAAAACCTTGTACAAATGAGTTGTTATATATAAGATGCTTATGCTAAGGGAAAAAAACTTTATACAGTTTCAAGAAAAAGGAAAACATATCTTAAAAGGGACAACGTACAGGTTCGACGAGCAATCTCTAAAGCAATAAATACTACTGGTCCAACAGCGTTGTGATTCCATTAATTGTTGAGTAGAACCCCCCCCCCAAAAGAACAACACCATGGAACAAGGTATATTAACACATTTAACCCTTTGTTTCTGTACATTTAAACAATAACAAGTAACATCACAATTAAAGTTGTCTCACACAGAGAAAAAAAAAAAGGACTATGGCACGGCATTCGTTGTGCCCTTATGGTTTAAAAACCAGATGTAAAATGATTGGTTCGCAAGCTCGTATTTAATACAAATAATACAGAACCAACTCCTTCTGGAAGGCTACTTCAAAATTGCTTCTTTTTTTTTTCCTTTTTGTTTTTTAATCAGTCTTTTAAAACTAAGCTATCCGAACTACATAACAGTTATGTATATATATATATTTTTTAAACGCTACAAAGACTTTAAACAGCTGTTGATAAAAATTTTGGTAGAATCATGAGGTTCTTCTCTCATCTACATATTTAAAAGGAGAAATTGAAATAAGAATGGGTCAAATATTGACCAATGAACTCCATAAACATCAACTAATGTAGCCACGTGGCACAAAATTAAAAGAGTACAAAACAAAACCTTTCCGTGGGGGTGGGGGTGGGGTGGGGGTGGGTACAAAGAAAAGCGAAAAAAACGCAACGCTACGCAAACCAGCGGGCGGGGGGCTGGGGGGCTGCTAACGAAGCTAAAGCTAGTCTAAAGACTTGGTCACGAGGGACAGCGGCTGGGGCTGGGTCCCGGCCAGAGAGCCGCGGGAATGTAAGGAAGAGGTTGACGGCTGTGCAAGGGAGGACGAGGACAGGACGGGCGGCTGCACCGCGGCGGGAGGCAGGTCCAGGGCCCCGTTGGGACACAGGGCGGGGGCCTTGCCGGGGGCGGCCTCGGCAAGCAGGAGGGCGGGCGGCGGAGGCATCATGGACAGGTGGGCCAGGGGGTCGGGCTTCAGGGTCAGCGACAGAGGCTGGGTCTGCTCAGTCTGTGACTTGGCGTCTTGGGGGGGGGAGCCTAGCAGGTTGGGGGAGGGAGGAGGCGAGTCTAGTAAGCTTCCATCTGAAGAGGGTGGACTGAGGCAGCTGCCTTCACCTTGTATGTAGCGAACGCACTTTTTTTTTCTCCTAGAAACAGGGGGAGAGAGTCATCTGTGAATAAAGGGCAGAGATGCCGAGGGAGAGAGTGACCTACTGCTCAGGGGCGCGCTCAAGTGCCCTCTGTCCCCAGAGCCCGCACGCCCCGTGGCCAGGGGGCCGCGCTCACCTGGCGCCCCCCCGCCCCCCCCCTTAAGCCTGCCGGGCCGAAGAGCTGCGTGGGAGTCGAGGCCCGGCCCCCTACCTACCTGCCCCCCCCCCGCCCCCGCTACACGCCCGTGACCCCAGCCCGGCCCCGGTACCAGGGAGCGGACTGCGGGAGGCAGCGCCTGTTTGCTGCAAAGTGGCTGCGTCCACGCGGAGATCAACTGCGAAGTGTGTTATTTCTTTGGGCTTAGACGCTCCCTGGCTTGCCCATCACGTCTCCCCTGCATTCCCGCCGCTAGCAGCCTACTCCCCGTGGCCTCTGTGTGTGTGTGTGTGTGTGTGCGTGTGTGTGTGTGTGTGTGTGTGTGTGTGTGTAAGAGAAAGGGAGCTCCTTCCCCAGGCGCCGCCTGCCCGTGTGAAACCCTCAACATGCTGACTGTTGAGCCACCCACAGAGCCGAAGGCAGCGCTAGCAAGGGGCTTAGAGGTCTTCACACCCACACCGCCACCACCACGGCCACCACCACGGCCACCACCACCGCCACCACCACCACCATTAACGCCGCCGCCGCCAGGCTGCCGGCGCCCAGAGAGCTTTCGGGCTTTGTCTGTTAAGAACCACACCAAATCAAGAGAGGTCAGAATCAGGTGAGAAGGGGAGGGGGGGCAAGGGGGGAAACAAAACTAAAACAAAAGAAATTAAAAACAAAACAAAAACAAAAAATAAAACGAAAACAAAAACAAAAAAACCACCAAAAACAGGTAGAAGAGGATAAACAAAGGTGGGGGAGGGGGAAGAATAAGAAAAACAGAAAATGATCCAAAGGAACAAGAATAACTGGTTGTATGGCCTGCAGGTTGTGGATTAAATTATGATTCAAACTTGATTTTTGTTTTGTTTTTTTTTTTAAAGATTTGGGGTCTTCCCCTCCCCCACCCCAGAGTGAGAAGGCTGGAAGGAGAGACAGCGAGGATGGGATGGAGGGGCACCCTGTCTTGGTCACTCTGCCGAGGCCGTGAATAGAGGGCGCAGCGTGTCACAAGGAAGTGACGACAAAGAAGAAGTGCTGGGGGGGGGGGCGGGGATCACAGCACGGAACTGGTGGGGTTGGGTTATGGTGATTAGTGTTTAAGCCGGAAGGACTAAGTTTGCCCTGCACCCAAACCAGAATCTCCCCTCTACATTTCCTGTTTACCTAAGAAATAGGAATGAGAATTTCAGAGACTCTCTTGCTCATCATCAAAGGTTGGGGAAATCAATTCAAGAAATTGAGCATGTGACCTCAAAGCTTCTCCTACTATTAATCCCAGTCCAATGGGAAGGATATTTAGTAGGAAAGGTGATCCTGGGAATCAACCCGACTCATGCAGTAAAAATCACGCAAACACAGGGAGTGTGCTGACCTAAGGAGCCCTTGAATACAGGTAAAACCATGGCTGATAGGACTGTCTAAAAACAAGTGTGTAAGTGCCGGCCGGCTTCCCATCCCTGGAAAGCAATTTAAGATGCTGCCTGGGGTCAGATGTCACTGGCCTTTGAAAGGAAGGAGGTGTAATGAGTTCCTCCTTGGGTCTGTGTCCCAGAGGTGTCTGCTCATGCCCCTCCGTGCGTGGGGTGTGGACTCAGCAAGATGGCAGGAGGGCGGGTAGGAGGAAACATGCTTGGCCTTCCCCGCCTCCCAGAGGCTGAGACCCACCGGGTGGAGGCCTCAGGGTCTACCCGACTACCCTCTGGGTGGAAAGGAACTCTAGGGGTGCAAGGACAGCCCCCCTCACCTTCAATTTGGAAAGGTTCCTTTTCTCCTCTGGGATAGATTGAAACAGACTGTGGGTTCTGCTCCCATCCCAGAAACCAAGATACATAATTAAGCCTCTCAGAGTTTTAAACCACCTTAGCCTGCAGATCAAAACATGCTTAAAAAACTAAGATGTCCATGCATTTTAAAAAATGGGAGAAGGGAGGGGTGGGGATGGGGGCGGGGCATAAGCAAAAGTGAGAGAGCGACAAGGACAAAGGAGAGAGGGAGGAGGGGAGTGAAAAGGAGAAACAGGAAAACAGGGGAGTGACGTCAAGCAGCATTCCATGCTATATTAGGGCAGAGTAAAAAGATGGGAAAGCAACTTGGTGGGCTCAAAACAGAATCTTGTTAAAATGTCCTCAAATGTCAAATAAAATTAGAAACCCTGTGTAGTGAGCAAGGAGTCCTGATTGGCTAGGAGCACGTCTGCTGCTCCCCTCACCCGCCCGCCCTCCTGATGACACGGAGGTTTCCACTGCGAGGGGATGAGTGGAAGCCTTCTCAACACTGGACATGAAGACTATGAAGGACAGCGAGACATTCCTTCTAACAGGTGGCTGAGCAAAAGGCAGTTGGAACACATACTTCTGACGGGCTGGAAAATGCCTCATTTTGTAACTGCTTTTCTTTCTTTCTTTTTCTTTTTTTTTTTTAAGGCACATTTTGTCCTATTGATTTAGCATCAAGCCAGATCCTGGCAAAGAGGAAAAGTTGAGGAAAAAAGGGGCAAAACCCATCTGCTTACCCTCCCCCACCCAGGCTCCATCTCCAACCAAGGGGCGGCCCCTGAAAATTCCACTTTTAGCTTCTCATGGGTTTATTCTGAAAGGAAAACTAAGGGTTCTTCCTGATCCTGTTTTGGAATTACACCCTTCAGTGAGCTAAAATGCATCTGCTGATGCTTTCAGGGTCTGAGAAACACCCCCCGAAGAAGCAAAGTGGCCACCAGGAACATTCTAATGGTGTCAAGGTGGGAAGGACGCTGAGGAGTGATGAGGGACACCAGCCCGCCATGCTGACAGCTGGCCCCTCCGAGCTGTGCTTTTGAAAATCGTGTTTATGAAGCAGCTACAAAGATTTTGGTTTTTGCTTTTGTTTTTTGTAAAAATGTCATGAAACTTCTGGCCTCTGAGGCAGATCCCATACCCTGGCTTTAAACAAGGTGCAGGCTGTGTCTGAGAAGGGGATGTCCGTCCCGGTCAACGTTAGGAATGGTAACTTTCAGGAAAAAAAAAAAATGTCAAGTCTAACTTGAAGCAAATGCTTCCAAAACAAAAAAAAAAGAGGGGTGTGTTCATAAACCACCACTCACCCCCCCCCCCAAATAAAATAGAAACAAATCCGGCAACACACCATATTGCGAGGTGGCCACAATGGTCTCAGCCATACATTTCTAGAGATCGTGAGAAACCCGCTCAGGAGTGAGCCCTGCGATTAGCGAAATCCTTCCCCATGGTATTCTGCAGCTAATCATCTTCCTCCTCAGCATGGAGGAGATTTTGCCACAAACTCACTGCCTAGACCTGTCCTCCCTGGGTAGGCCTACTTAAATCCCTAACATTCTTCATCTACCTCCTCATGAAACTCTTTTCTGTGGCACAGAGAAGACCCTGGGATTGTGCCGAAAGGATATTTGTCACCTCCGTGAACACGGCCATCTCACAGAATGAACGACTGACTGGAGGATCTCTCTCCAGGCCTGGAACCCTCACTCAATGGGCAGAGAGGGTTGTCTGTGGAGTTCTCCCTCAATAAAGATGCTCAGGCCCTCTCTCCCCTCAACGTCTGGCCAACTTGAGGCACTTGGCCAATCCCTCATAAGGCACCAGGGGGAGGGTAAGAGACACAGGAGACTCGTGGGCATGCACGTGATGGGATGGACATCTGATCTAATGTCTAAACACGGAACACACGGCAAAGGCATGAAGGAGAGGGACACGTGACAGGGAGGCACTACAACAGGGAGGTGTGTTTGGGGGTGTTGAGATACCTACCATCATAATATTCCAAATTCAAAGACTGCTTGTATCAGAACAAAGAAACAACAAATTTAACCAAAGGTGGTCATTAAAGGAAAGGAAATGAGACAGGAACGAGTCGGTATCCCTCCACCAAGAAGGAAGTACCTACGGCTTCCCTGAAATTACAGGTTGGATGGAAACCTGCAGGTGGAACGCGGGTGTTCAATTTGGACTCTTCTAGTTCATTTTGGAAGCAATGCTCTCTCGCTCGCTCGCTCTCTCTCTAAACATATGCAATATATATGTGTAATTCCGCAGGCTAGCAATACTGCAGTATAGGACTGCATGACTCATTGCTTGTAGCCCTTCAGCTGGTGCATGCCGTTCAATGCCACGCTTCTTTTCAGCACTGTAAAACAATGTCAGCTAACCGGGCTCCTCTGTCCAGAGACATGTGGTTTATCAACATAAAAGAAAAACAAAACAGAACAGAACCAAAAAACGCCTGCCCCAGAGCCCTTCTCCAAGTGTCTTGACTCTCAAGTACGTGGGAATGGCCCTTGCTGCCAAGCTTTTAGCTCATTCAAACCTTTGGAAACGGTGGTTCTGTCTAGACTCAGCATATATGCCACAGACCGGGCCCGTTCCAGGATGCTGGCTTGCAAAGCGAAAGGGTAAGTGCCCGTCCTGGTCTGTTAAGGGTGTGGTCTCAGTCCTACCACCGGGGATCTGGATAGGTTACTCGTAAGAGCAAGGGGGAAAGAGAGAAAGAGAAAGTGGGGAGAGGATACGGCATAAAATTAGCAAGGAAATTTTGAAGAGTGAGGATCATTAGTCATTGATGCCGGTAGGGAAGTAGATGGGAAGGAGGTCAAAATACATCGACACACTGAGGTAGCAGAAGGACAGAGTGCTTTGATTTTCCCAAAGGCCTCACAGTGGTCATATACCTGCACGGTTTGCACCATAAAGTCTGTCGGTCAAGCCCGAACAGTGCCCGACACTTCTTTGGAGTATTTGCATCTGTTAGCATAAGGTAAACACAAAAAATACAACACAATGGTGGATCATGCTCAGTTGGATGTGAAATCTCAGCTACTGCTGACTTGTCTTCTCTATGACCTTGGCTCTATATGATTGTCTTCCCTCACCAAGGACATGAAAGGAAAAGACTTCTATGAGGCAAAAGAAAAAAATAAATAAATAAAACACGCACCAAAAAAACAAAACAAAACAAAAAAAACAACAACCAGAAACCAAAAAACAACAAGGAAAAATAAATTAAAAAATAGAAGAGAGAAGGAGGGGAAAAGGTGACGTTGTTGTTTGCTTCTACCTAGGCCAGGATTACGATGGATGTCACTGAGCCCCATCCTGGGTGGTCATGAGGAAGGGGGTTGGCAGGCAACGTTCCCTGGGGGGGGGCGCGCTGGGGTTGGCTGTCGCTGACCCGAGGAGGCACAAAGGATGCTGTTTTACAGTGGCATTTTGGCTAGCAGCAGCGGGGAGAACAAGCACATCCCTCACAGAGCAGTGTCCCGCGCCCTCATGTCTCCTAAGATCCACACACAGAGCTACAAAGCAACAGGCCAGAGAAGGGGGGGAAAAGGATCGAATAGACCAGCTGCAGACCAGCACAGCGAATCTGGGAAATCTATACACACCTGCAAGGGCCGCACCAGTTATTCTGTTGATCAAGGCCAAAGCGCGCTCGGCATTTCTTAGGAGCGCTCAGGTCTGAATGAGTTCAAGAGAGAAGCGAGCAGAGGAGGAGGACGTGGGAGAGAGAGAGGGAGAGAGAGAGGGGGGAAGGGGGGGGAGAGAAAGATACAAATAAGAAAAAAATAAAAGTAAAAAAGGGAATAAATCAATGACCTGGTTACTAATTACAAAATATTGACTTTCGATTTTTAACTTTAATTAAAAAAAAAAAGGTAAAAATCACATTCTTATTCGACTGGTGAAATTAGCTGTTGCAAACAAAGCTGCAGTATCCCTTCTTTAAGGACTGTCTCTCCGATTCGTTTTGAGCGGATAAAGGGAAGTCAGATACTGAAAAAACTAAATTTTAAATAGTAGTTTTCTTCTTTTGGTTCTGCTTTTCTTTTTTTTTTTTTCTAGCTCTCTCAATTTGTTTTTCTTAAAGAAGAAAATAAAGCGAAGGAGGGAATTAAGTTTGTAACATGCTTTTTTCTTCTCAGAGTACAACAGTTTAAAAAAGGAAAAAAAAAAACTACAAATAAAAACAGAACAAAATGAAACAAAACAGAAAGAAATAAAGAAAGAAAAGGGGGTTGTGGTACTGGGATATTGCAGCTTTTGAAATGTTTTTCTTTTCTTTTTTTTTTAACCGATTTTCATGACTACTAACAGAAGAACAGATGAAGGTGAACAGGCGGTGTGAATGAGCTGGTCAGGGTTAGTCAGAAGCTCATAGCAGCTTTTAAGCAGGTACAGTCAGTAAAATGCTAGTGGATTTGCAAATTAGGAGCAGGAAAGCAAAAGGAAGAAAAAAACTAAAATAAAAAAAAAAGCGAAGGAGAAAATAATCATACTGCGGATACATGCTTGCGTGAGAAAACTTAGTGGGAGCAACGGAAAATGCCATTAGATTAAGGAGGTTTATTACTGAATTCCTTCCATTTTGGTTGGTTTTTGCTTCTTTTTTTTTTTAACCAGTCTCTTTTAAAGAAATACTGCATATTCAATTTGCACAGTTAGTTCAACACTAAGTCACTGTCATCACTGCTTAAACAACTGTTATGGGAAAAATAAATAAATAAACAAAGCGAAAGTTAAATTAAATTAAAAAAAATAATAAAACAACAAAAGCAACTGAAAAAAAAAAAAAATCTACCGAAACATACGAAACCGTGTAGATGGTCATTTTAAAGGATGTTCAAATGTCATACGTGTTTAATGTTAATAAAACTATAATGGCAAGAAAAATTAAAAAAACAGTTTATCGACTATTTTAATGACTCAAAATGACATTAGCACCTGTAATCGGAGGAAGTGAAAGGCAAGGATTTAGGAAACATTCGCTGTGTTCTGAAAAAAAAGAACAAATTATACAAAGCCTTCAAAATTTTTGTTGTCGTTTGTAAAAGCCTGGCCTTCTCCAAGGGGACCTTCTGATATTGCCTATGCAGTATTTCTAATTTCTCCTAGAGAATGACAAACCTCCTTAATTTAAATTGGGTGCAATTTACCACTGTAAAGGCATGCATCAGAACATTCAGGAACAGCCCAGTTAATATCAAACACTCACACACACCCCGCCTACTCCCCCCGGCCCCTTCCTCATCCCTACAGACATAGACAAAATAAGCAGACTGCATAAATCCCGCATAGGCATGCCTACCACCCTCCCGTTACAGGCTCTGCAGTTATTTAAAAACACATTCCACTAGAATTACAATGTGCTTTTCATGCAACAATGAATGTTACTAGCTTCAAAAGGGCAGTCATGAAGCAATTAATTAAAATGCATACACAAAAAGGCTGGCTAAGACGGGTTCCCCCACAATGTCCTGGCCTTGAATTTCTCCTGCCTCCCCCAGACAGAAATCTAAGGTAAAAGAGTGGTCCTCACAGTACCACTCCCTCCTCCTTCCTCTTTAGTCTAACTTACCATTGGTCTCTCCGGGCTGCTTGTCCCTTTTCCTCTTCTTCTTCTTCCCCTAGATGAACAGATGAAACACAAGGAATTATTGCAGGAAACAGATGGGAGGAGGGCGTCTGGGCTCACCTCGAAAGGAGAAGGCAGGAGGAGGGGAGCACTCCGCTGTCTCCGTCCACACCCATGGCTCCCACAGTGTTTTTGACCCCCCCCTTTAATCCAAATGCCCTTCAGCTGTGCTTCAGCTAGAGGGGCACACACTCAGCAAGGGGAAGAGAAGGGGTGAGCAGGGGTGAAGGAAAGACCTCTTTTCCCACACACCTCTGTCCATCCTCAAACCTGACCCAGAGCATCTGATTCCATTAAGGGGAGAAGAGAACTGATGAAGGAAGATTTAGGGAGGTGTGGAGAGACAGGGTTGGGAGTGGCCCAAGAGCCCACAGCCAAGTGTCAAATGACTGTGGACATGGCCATGTGGACTAAGAAAGCCACCCCCACCTTGCTCCATGCAAATCTCTTCCTTACTAAGGCCAAAAGGCCCTCCTACTCAATCAAAAACCAAAAGCTTTAACTGGGGCTTTACCAGTAACAACAGCTAACATTTACTGAGCACATACTATGCGCCAGGCATGATTCTAGGTGCACTATGCATATTGACTCATTTTTCCCTCACACAACCCTATACAACCCTATACAACCCTATACAACAGGGACTATCACCTTTCCAATTCTACAGAGGAGGAAACTCAGGCACAGAGGGATTATGTGACTTCCCTGAGATCACACAGCTAGCAAATGCTGGGGCCAGATGGGAACTCAGGAGGTCTTGGCTCCACAGCCCTTACCTCCTAGGCTGTGCGACCTGCGTATTTAATCCCTTGCCCTCCGAGGAAGGTTTTTAATTGATTACAGGGGATGGATCGCATGGGGTCATTCACATTCTCCAACCTGGTATCTTTACTGTCTGCTTGTGGCTGGGATGTGGCATGGGAACAGAGACGAGCTCTGTAGAGCTGACTGCATCGGATCTGAAACTAGTTCTCTCTCAGCTTGTCAGCGCTGGTCCTATCCATCGGGGTCAGATGCTGGGTACGTATGAAATGATACCATCAAAAAGACTGGCCTACATGTCTACCTGTTTCCAAACATCTAAATATTGCCTCTGCCTAAAGTTCTCATGGTATGTTGACATCAACTCCGGAAGGGAAACCAACAGTGACAGGGGGTCAACTTGACAACCTATAAGGCCCTGTAAGGAGAACTTCAGGGTGGAGAAGACATCGTTTTAGCTCCATCCAAGGGCTGCAAGCCAACTGTCTCAGAGAAAGCCCCTCTTTTCTCTAAGATCTTAGAGCCCATACCATTTGGGAAATTTGTCTTGGCCTTCAGTTTGAAACACTGTGATACATATTATATTCCTTGATAAACAATTTAAAGATTTTTTTATTTATTTATTTGAGAGAGTGTGCCCCATGCACCTATGAGTGGGAGAAGGGGCAGAAGGAGAGAGAATCGCCCAGCAGACTCCCCGCTGAGCACAGAGCCCAATGTGGGCCTCGATCTCACGACTCTGAGATCATGCCCTGAGTGGAAACCAGGAATCGGACACTTATCCGACTGAGCCACCCAGGTGGGCCTTGGTAAACAAGGTAAAAATAAAAAAATAAAAGGAGCTCATGGGGCCTTCTTGTGAGCCTTGGCAGCCCATCTTCATGTTTGTGCCTCTCCTAGGGGAGCAACAATGTGCTGCCTGGCCATCTTAGAAAAGGCAGGAGGGGCTAGTTTCAGTTTATTTAGGAGCCTGAGTGAACACTCAGCTGGGCACAGAAAACCGTGGTGACTCTGGGCAGTGTTGGCATCCACACACCCAACGGATTCTCAGTCACCTCTGGTTTAATACAGTGCTCACCCGTTTCCCATCTCCCTCCCATATGTTCTGAAAGGCAGTTGAAAGTTCCACTCCCCATGGGAAGCTGTCAATTTAGGATATATAACTGAGATGTTCATGACTGAGGAAAGGCTTGTTTAAACTGAAGGCTTCTAGAGAACAGGGACTATGTTTTAATCAGAAGAGAACAAGAAGAAGCTTAATAAACATTACCTAGTGAAGAGGGACATATGTCTCAAGGGGGGACAGCCACCCCGTTATCTTCTTAGATGTAACAGAAGAAAAAGCCTAAATACGGAGGTGGGGGGTGGGGAATTCAAGATGAGCAATGGCTTAGGATTTGTGTCCTTTATCTAACCTGGAAGAGCTGGAGAGGCAACAATGTTCTAATACAATGCCGGGGGTCAGACGGCACTATGGGACCAAACTGTTTTCTCCTGGGCCCCCAGAAGGTGCCAAGTCCGACAACCCAAATGTGATTGTTGTATTCAATTCTATTTTGCTAAGGCTTCCATTACCACTTGACTGGAAAAGCAGGAACATGAAAAAGGCATGAAGTCAGCTCAGAAAACTTTTTCCAGAAGACCTTTTGGACTCTACAACGACCAAAGTAATGTACAGAAACTCCTATGTCGAGTCAGCTAAGAAAAATCCCCAAACCCGACAAGTTCCACCACAATCAAACCCATAAGACCTTGAAATCTGACCCTTGCTCCACAGACCACATCCTGGGGCACAAAAGGGAGGGAAGGAGGGAGGGAGGGGCGCGTGCGTGTGTTCACACTCATGTGTAAGGAGCCATGGTGACGGGAGTCAGAAAGTACCCTGTATAAGAGATAAAGTTCCTCTAGCCCTAAATCTCGATCTACCTCTAAACTTTCTCTCAAGTCTTGTCAGAGGTTCCCCTATTATACTGGGCTTCTTCTGAATGTGAAGCTGAGCCAAAGTCACTTTAAGCACCTCGTGGACCTTCTAAAACCTAGAAAGCACTTCACAAAAAGCCTGGGGCAATGCCTGTCTAACTGACTCCCAGGCAAGTCAATGGCAGCATTCTTTTGAAGTTATCACAAAGTTGGCCTCGTATCTCTGTGGAGATCTCCCCCTGCACAACTCCAGAGGGCACCATACACACAGACATAGGGTAAATGGCACTCCCTAGAGTTGTGCAGTACACATCCTGCAAAGATGTACATGAAGGCCCTACCATGACCCCGCATGTCTGTTGGGGATATGAGATCTATAGCGGAGCAGAATTCCTCTCTGTGGTACCATTCTAGATCACTCAAAGACTTAGGTCTACAGCAGGTAAAAGGTGGAGGTAAACTCTAAGAGCTTCTGACCCGACACCAGGAGAAGAGTGTCCTGAAATGAGATGGCTGTGCATGCGGAGGCCCCAGAGCTGGCCTGCTGCTGGAAATCTCCACCTCGAGGTCGGGACGGGCGGGGGTGGTTAGCAGCAAGCCTGTGGGAGAGCATTCACTTTCTCATCCTCTTCCTTTCCATTGCAGAAGAAAGGCTTCCCCACGGCATACATGCTGAGGACGAGTGGAAAGGTCCCAAGCAGCTAAGACCCGGTGCGTGACCATCCGTGAGTGACGAGGGCCCTGACCAGAGCGAACATTCCGGTGACAGGTACCAGCACTAATTCCTGTTTCAACTCCCAGGAGGAACAGAGCCTCGTGCCGCCAGCCAAGGCCACTGGGACCCAGAGGGAGGCGGCTGGGGGCAGAGATGAAGATGCGGGGATGAAGCCCAACCGTCTGTGTTCTCCGCGCCCCCTTCTCTGCACGGGGAAGAGCAGACTAGCAAGCACGGGGTGACAGGTATGAGAAACGGCTAGAGCCGGCCAAGACAGCATGCGCCCGGGACCCACCAATTCCCGCACCTGTCCATGGCTTCCTGATGGCAGGTAAGTTTTGAGAGTCAACGTGCCTGATTTAACTCTGAAGCCTCACAGCACATTCACCACCAGCACTAACTGAACTGATCTCAGCCCACAAACAGCGCCTTCACCACGATGTCGTCCACAGGAGATCTGGGTCAGGAGCGCGGGCGGGGGAAGGACCCCCCACGGCCCCACGCCACTGACCAGAGATGGGAGGAGAAGCCCCCTGCTGGTATCAAGGCAAGTTTTGCCTTCACCACCCTAGAGAGTGAATGGTTAAAAATCACTTTATAAAACCCAATGCCATGGAATCAAAGTATCAGGTGAAGTAAGAGACATCTCATCCACAGAGAGGAGAGCCAGCCCAGAAGGCTGCGGGGCAAAATGTGCACAAGAAATGACAGCGAGAGGAGACAGAGGAGTCTCCTGAGGAGAGCAAGGTCAGGAGAGGACAGGAGTCCTGGGTGTCACAACCACTGTGATTAGTGAAAGCAACAATCCTGCCCTGTATCCTAAAACCCCAGGGAGGAAATTAGGCAAGTCCTGTAGTCAACACAGAGCCCAGGAAGACACCTCACCCGGCGCAGACCCTTTCCCGACCCTTCCGGGGCCCCAAGGCACTTCCTGCGCCCCACCAGAGGAAGACAACCCCTGGCTGCTTGCAGGGATCCTCCCCCCATACCCCTCTCAGCAGGAACTAGCTTTTCCAACTTGTCCTGAACCACAGCGTAGGGCAACTGTTCCTTTTCTCCCTCTTAAGGGCCAAGGCGCTGCTGGAAGGCCTGGGAGGAATTAAACTCTCTCCACCGAGGCCTTCCCTGTCAGGACCCATGGGACCACTGCTGAGAAGCACAGAAGCCCCCTGAGGCATATCCTAGAGCCTTGTCTTTACAAAGACCTGGGCAAGAAGGTGTGGACAGCCCCCAAGTCAATCCCACGGTCCTGAGCTGGAACAATGGAACACTAGCCTCCTCCCTCCTCCTTGAAGAAGTTTGGCCTGCTGATGGAGCCCTACTGGAAGCCAGGACAAGGACCCCCGCCCCCCAGTCTGGTGCTCGGACAGGATGCCCCTGGTCCCAGGAGTGGGCAGACTGTATGGTTCTGAGGCCTGATTCCAGGTGGCAGGTAGCATGCCCTTTGGGCAGGGGAACCCCCGACACACCTCTACAGACTCTAGCTCTGAGCAAAATGAACACCTACATAGTTATCCCGCGCAGACCAGCCGGGGTACAGCTGCATGTGAAGCTGTCGCTCCTTCCGGGCCAGCTCGTAGTACTTCGCTTGCTCTTCTCTGGACAGTGCGTGCCACTGGAGGGGACACAGGGGCAGGCAAAACGTCACGAACGACCCTGTGGCCGGGGCTGAGAGATGGGTCTGCTCTGCAGGGTCCTGGCACGCAAAACCTCATCTGTCAGCTCCCGCCCTGGCGCTCTCTCTGGGCGAGAGGATGGCGGCAGGTGTGGAGAAGGTCATTCTGGTCATGCCTCCATGAAGGCCACTGAAGAAGTCAGCACGTGACCGAAGGGACGGGGCTACCATGCCATGCCACCCCCTCTTCCCAGTGAGGGAGAGACCTACCCTTCGCCCCAGGATCTGATTGATGGCCGCACTTTCTTTCAATGTGCACTCAGCCACAACCTTCGCCCTCATCTCCTTCATATACAACATGAATGCGTTAAGAGGTTTCTTTATGTGGGGCTTCTTCTTTTCTTCTTCCTTTTTGGAGTCCTGATGCTTTCTGGATATAGACAGAACAGATAGGCACAACCCGATCAACAATTGCAAGGTCCCACTTCCTCCCCAGCAGAGCACCCAGCTCTCCGGCTACTCAACACCCAAACCTAGCAGTTCTGAATGAGAAGCATGCTTCCACTTTGGGTCTTCTCCACCCTGGAAAATGGAACAAAAACATCGTAGCGAGGGTGTGGGGGAAGAGAAAATTTCATAATCACTTCCTCGAGTGTCCCAGACACACCATTTTCCCAAGCCAGAGGGAAAAGCACAGTGTGGCCAATTCCCCCTCGGCCAGTGTCTCTCGTGCTCCCGGGACAGACCTCCAAACGTTCCGTCGTGGATTAGGGACAGGGACACAGTTGCAAATCCCAGTCTATCCAAGGACACGGGTACCCCGAGGCACACGCACCACGGCCAACCACGGGCAGGGCCACCACCCAGCAGCCAAGGCATCAACAACGGTCTAGACAAGATGCGGAAAGAGAAGGCGACTGAAAGAGCAACACTCACGAGCTATGGAGTGAGCCGACATCACTCTGGGAGGATTCCTGTTTGACTGTTGGCGTGACTATGGCCGGGTGGGGGATGCCAGTCGTATGTAGAGTGTGATGTGGTGGGACCATATGGGGAGGGAACCTGGAAGACAGGAAGCTGTGTAAATCGTCAGAATCAAAATGAATGAATGGGGAGGGATGTGTACACACAATTAAAAAAAAAAAAAAAAAACCCAGCACGTAACACTCACATGAAAGCAACCCAAGGCATATGAAACCTGTCAGCATTAATTAGCGATAAATTAAACATAATGATTCTCATAATGTCATTAAAGCCAATCTTCCCCTTCATTATTGCTACTGACAAGAGACATTATGATTTTTAACATCTTTAGCAAAAGACAAATACAACGGATGTACTTGGGCGGAAAAGTAGGCTCGGACTACCTGCTGGAAATCACACGTCCAGTTGTTTTTTGAGGCATTATTAGTGGCATCTAAGAAGACAATTTCCTAAGTCCTAATCAGCTCTAGAATGAAAGGTGAAATCTATTGTTGCATATTGACAGCTAAATAAAATATTAACGTGGCTGAAGTACACATTTTTGACAATGCCGTGCATGCCTCATTAGGCCATATTCTGTTGATGGAGTACAATAAAATTTTTCTTTTTCTTTTGCTGATGTGCCCCATCATTTTGACAGGAATGAGAGAAAGTGAGGCAGAAAGATGGGGAAAATCCAAATGCTTCCTATCTGGGTCTCATCGTAAGTCACAGATATTTTAAATAAGCTTATACCCTCTTACGGAAAGATGAAAAAAAAAGCTGTATTTTATACACACACATAAATGGAGCTTTGAATTCGGATGTGTATGCCCTCTCCCGCTCTGTAATCCTAGGATTCCTAAATTGCGTTTACTTAATAGGTTGCCTATGCCTTCAAAGGCCTTCTAAATGATCATCCAAGTGGTAACTATATGAGTCAAGGTTGTTTTCTCCTCTAATACTGTCCATTTTTAGGAAGTTCTTTGAAACCCCCCCTAGGCCCCGAATTAGCATTTCCCTGCCATGCAATGGCACCAGAACATAAAGAGCGAATTTTAAAATGCCCATCTTGGCCCACATGTGAAGTGACAACTGGATCAGACAGCTTTCACGTTCTCTGATATGCCTGGAGTCGCCACGAGTTGTAAAGGGTTAGAAGAATCACCCTTCTTAAAAGAACATATACTACCATACAGAATAGCAGGGTGAGGGGAGAAAAGGGGAGAACCCCGAGAGAAAACAAAATGGCGGCCTCCAGGCTCCAACCTGTCCAGGTTAGGCAAGTGAGCAAGTGGGGTGCTGTTCGGGGGAAGGAGAACCAGATCAAGCAGTTGATGCTTTCTTAATACATCCAAACCAGAACAGTCCCGCAGAGCATCCAGAGAATGAAGACCTGCTCTCCAGGCAGCCAATTCTGGTGGGCACTGGAAGTGCTAGTGAGGGTTTATTGAGATGGTGATTTCAAGAGGATCCTGTATTCACAAGGTTCTTTTTCCTTATGTGGACTGGAGATGAAAACAGCTTCCATTTGACCCAAATAATGTAGCAAATGTTAATTTGAAAAACGGTAAGCAAGCAAAAAAAATTAACTAACTGAATCTGGGTAGATCAACGGAGAAAATACCAATGCACAAGGCAGATTTCTGAAGGGGCCCAGATGCACAGTGGGGACATTTGGACTCAGAAATTCCATCCTGATGTGGCCCTTTCCCGCCACTGCCTTTTACAAATTTAAGCCAGTATCAAAGTTTGGTAAAAATGACATGATTTTTTAGTAAGAACCATGTAAATCCTTTAGGGTATATGAAAGGGAGGGAGGGAGAGAAAGAGTCTGAGAGAAAAAGAGAAAGGAAAAAACAAGCAAACAACCTCCATTCCCTTTCCCCGAGAAAATGAAAAGCAAGCCCTCGGAAGGCTCTTGGACTCCCATGTTACACTCTGTTCCTTCCACTGCATGAGGGCCTCTGAGGAAACATAAGTTAAGAACATGTGTTCTTGGAAGCCCTTGGGTGAAGCGGTGGGTGGACTGGCAGCTTTTACTGTGAATTTTAAAGGCTTGACATTCCTCAAATACATATGTTCTCTTCTTGCTGAATGGGAATATGTGTACAGACATGAGAGCGAGAGAGCGAGAAGCGGGGGAGAGACAGGAAAACACTGTGTTGTGTATGGTTTATGTGTGTGTCCCAAACACACACACACACACACACACACCCCAAACACCACAGGTAGCTACCACAGTCTGAGCACATTTTGGGGTGGGGCCAAATTTCCAGTGCAGGCCATGAGGAACGAACACTTCCAAGTTTACAAACACATTCATCTACCTGAAAAATGTATAGCGGAGAAAGAAATGGGGTGTTAGAGGTGGGGGGGGGCCTACATGCACACCGTTGCTTAAGAAATTCCCTTCTGCAGACAGCTATTTCATGAAATGCAATAAACACCCTAAAAATTCTAAGCAGCTCATTATATACCCCCGTCTGCTTTTATGGCTCCGAGCCAGAATATAATGATGAACCTTAACTTGTTAAGGACAACTAATTTTGGTTTCTGGCTGTCTCAGGGGCTCCTCTCTTGCTCACTCTCACTTTACTTCACTGTTGACACGTTTCTGTTAACTGGATGTCATCTGCCGGCCTTGATTTTATGCACAAGCAGTGGGATGCATTTTCCTTGCAACAATCCTGCTTTGAGTTGCATTAGGTTTGTCATTATTCTCTCATTTTCCCCCTTGCACTTGTAACATTTCATCTCTTCCTGCCTTATTTTTTGTGAGCCACGGTGCACCCACATTATGGTTTATACATGATCTCCTCCCTTTGAAGTCAGCCGATTTCAGAGCCCGCTCTCGTCAGGAGAAGGGCCTTGCACCAATTTAGCAGGCTGAGGGCCCGGAGCTCCAACATCTCAATCTAAAGGGGGTCACAGGGCGGCACAAGTGAGTGTCAGCAAGAGCTGTTTAATTGCCAATCTAGGCTTCTCCGCGGTGTTTAAAGTATAATGACCCATCACTTAATTCTGAGAAGTCCTGGCCCCGGCTGCTGAATAGAATGAATATCAAAGGGTGTTCTGGAACAGGGCAAGCTGCCTACATTTCCTGTAACTGCCGTGTAAGTATAATAGACCGTATATACTTCTGTTGCCCCATTACCACAATAATGTATTTAATTTGCTGTCTACGCTTTTTAACTAGCTACCTTTCGTAAGGCCTACCTGGGGAATCGGCGGCCTCCCCCTTGCACCTTGAGCCCCTAACCTTTCCTCCCACTGTTTTTCCTTCCTTTCCTCCACCCCCTCTGCCCACCTCTAAATTATCGGCTAACCTCCTAATGATAATTCAATCGATAAGCTTAACCCCAATCCCTATCCGACCATTCCTTCACTGCTTGTAACCTCTCGAATGCACCGAATAAACAAACAGGAAAAACAATCAGGGGCAATGATAAATGCCGGTTTTCGGGGAAGATGAGCGGTGGATTAGGAGCTGCTCTCGGGAGCAGCTCTCCTCTTGGGAGACTCCCAGTTCGTTCCCAGGCTTTGCAAGGTGGTGATGACATTGTTTAATGAACATAACCTTCCTCCTCTCACTGGAGAGGAGGACGCACAAGCATTTTCCCGCCTAACCCATATCGGTGTGGATTTTGAAACCGAAATCATTTATCACACGCGGGGACTGGATCTTTAAAATTATGTGATCTCCATGGCCTAATTACAAATGGGAGGTAGACTACAGCCTGTTTTTCTTAATGAATGTGATTCTTACTCTCTCCCCCACCAAAATTACTGTTCTGTAAGCAGGAAAAAAGGGCCTGGCTTGTCCTGTCTCTCCAACCCTCTCTCTGGTCCTGGGTTCCCATACGGACCACAGAGATTGGGGGAAGAAGCTAGGGACAGCATCCTTGCCATGTAATGCATGCTGATTTAATTATGGGCCATCATCAAAATGGATTACTTGTTGTAGCCCATCAGGAAAGTCTAAACCTCCACCGATTTAATTAACTTGACTGAAAATCAGATGAACAGAAAATAAAACTATCATTAGGAGCGATTAGTGACTACTTAAGCCTACTGCTGCCAACCAGTTTGTAAATAAACTAGCACTCACTGAAAAATTAGCCAGAATTAATTAGAGGGAGGAAAGGAGAACAGGGGATTAGAAAGATCCAGGTACACACATGTGGGTGTATGTGTGTGTGATACACACGTATTTATATGCTTAGAGATATATGAATGCACACGTGCACACACACACACGACTTTTCTTTGTAAAGGAAGAAGTTACTATTTTTATCCAATAAACACAGCAAAATATTTAAATTAGAAGTTGAAGATGCCCCCCATCAAGGAAAGCAAACATCATTATGTCCTTTGTCGGGGGGTAGGAATTCTTTGCTGGTTATTTGATGGGTTCCTTTCAAATTCTTGTTCTGTACACACAAGTTTTTTTTTTTTTTTTTTTTTAACTTTCCAAGACTTAGGGCTGCACAGGCCAGGGTGGTAGCCACCAGCCACACGTGGCTTACTTGAAACGTGGCCGGTCCACGCTGAGATGTGCTGTTAAGTGTAAAATACATACCAGATTTCAAAAAGGAAGAAAGAAAGTACAAAACAGAATGTAAAATCTCATTAATAGTTGCTTTACAGTACTAACATGTCAAAATGAGAATATTTTGACAATACGAGGTTGAATAAAATAGATCGTTAAAAAAATTTCACCTGGGTTCCCCCTGGCCCCCTTAACCTTTTTAAAACTGTGGCTAGTAAAAAACTTAAAATTCCCTATGCGGCAGTGCTACTTTATGGGGGGGGGGGTGTTTGGGAACAGGGTATCCCTTCTTGTTGACAGCGAAGAATCTGAATTTTGAAAAGACCACACCCTTCCTCAAACTCTCCTTTACATAATAATAAAATTACCTCCACCCTTTCTTACCCAGTATAGGGCAACAGAGAAACAACAGTTTAAAAAGTTCTGCATGTCCTAACTACTTCTTCCCACCTTCTTAAATTCTTAAAAAAAAAAAAAAAAAAAAAATACCGCTCAATACACTGATTCCCAGATTCAACCTCGAAACTTTGACATCACCTACCTTAGAAGTTCAGGTTAATTTTTCAGGATTTTCTAGAAGTAAAGCCTAATGCCCTATCGGTCTTAGACCATTAGGACTACATGAAGGAGTGGCCCCTGGATGGCCTGGGAGCCATCTAGAGAAGTTTCTGAGAAGTCCCCCATGGCTGACTTGATTGGAGGCCCTGGTTCTTGGAACTCACCTGGACATGGAAGCGTTGACGGTCAGAGCTGTGGGGTAGGGGTGGCGGAATCCTCCTGTCGTGATTGGGTACACTGGTTGGCCTTGCCTATAAAGAGGGGGGTACAAAGTAAGAGAGTGCAAATAGGGTGGGGGTGGGGAAAAGAAAAAGAAGAAAAAGGGAAAGTTCTCTCTGCACAGTAAGCTTTATTCTCATTTGATCAGAACAAAAATCTTGGGGATTGTACAGGAAGGATCAAAGGGAAGAAACACAGAACAATTTGAATGCCATAAATCTGATAGGAATGGCTAATTAAATTTTATAACCTCTGCTTATGTCAATAGAGACCCTCTCCCCAAGCTGAAACTAGGTGTTTTGTTGTAATAATTAAAGGCGAAGTCTTGCTTGCTTTAATGGAGCCATCACACTAATTGAGGGCTACACATCCAAAGGAAAACAATAATGAATGTAAATTTATACCAAAATAAAGTACAGTGAATCAAAGGACTTCAGTTACGCTTTGGGCCTCTTTCGGTATTTAGATCTCGGTGAGAAAACATTAAATTAACAGAGCTTAATTTGTAGCCTTTTGTCAAATTAACAAGTGTTGACAAGAGTTACCGGGGGGGAGAGTCCCCAAGAAGAATTGTGGGTAACCAATAGACAATCACACCTCATTACAATAATTAAAAAATACAGCAACATGCAAAATAGCATCCTCATGAAAGACACACAACTTCTTCTGACAGAGGGTTGTCTGAGTTGGCTATTCCTTTTTATCTAGCCTTCAAATATCTCCCCCTCAGCTGAACGGGGCAAGGGATGCCAGAGAACTATTCGAGGAAAGCGGCCCCATTTTCTGAGGAAGAAATGGGACACAAGCTCACGTCCGCTTCTACCCTCCCCAACAAAAGGAAGGAGAAAAAAAAAAATCAAGAGAAAGTACACCCACGGTATTTTGTACAGCTACTTCAGAATACAAGCTATTTTTCACAACCCAGGGTAGAGTGTGTTCAACGACAGAAATACTAGGTGAACTACTCTAGAACTTATCTTCTCTGAGGCAATGAAAGGGTGTCTTTCTTCCCCAAGACCCAAACTTCAGAGTTTTACCCAGGACGTATTCCTGTTAAGACAACAAACTGTCCTCGTTTTTTTAGAGTAGAGATCACTGATAAACACGGAGAACTACATACACAAGAACACAATCACAAAACGGATATTACACGCCTAAACACACTCGTGCACACTATGGTTATGCAGTGAAGGCCTTTCTACCCTGGCTTGGAAACACACATTTTCCAAGCTGTCCAAGGAAGCTTCATGGACGGTACTATAAAAGCAAGCCTGGGTGATAGGAAGACAAATCGTGAAAGGCAGCCTGACGCCCTGCGCACTGCCAGGAACCTTGGTGGACACTCAGGAAGGCCCCACGGGCCGGCACCCAGAGGTACCCAATGCCCCACCCCCGCCCCTCATAATCAGGTGAACCAAGAATCCAGAGAGATGCTGGTTGCAAACTGTCTGTCTCACCAGACAGACCTGGCCACTCTTGTTGCCAACCTTGGCAATAACCCTCAGGATGGGATGAGGGGGTAGGGGTTTCTGAGAGAATCACCCCCCAGTCTCACCCCTGGATTTCAAAAGGATGTTAGGCCTGTTCCCACTCCCGTGCCGCCTCAAACCAACGACAGGACTCCAGTCTGGGCGGCCACCAGCCGAAGAGCCATGACCCTCAGAGCCTCTGCAGTTCCCAAAGTATCTGAAGGACACCTTTGTTCACAGAGAGAAACCTAGAGTCTTGGGGGACTGTGAGTTCAGAATGCTAAGTATCAACAACCTTTTTCCTCCATGGCCCATCTGAAGGGCTACTGACTCTCCTGCTTCCCCACAGGGCACCTCAGTGAGCATCTTCCCCACGTACCCCTGCGGCCCTCCCTCCCCAACCCTGTCTTCCAAAACACACACAAGCGCACGCACACGCGCGCGCGCACACACACACACAGGATAAATAATAAGCATGCCCATGTAAGAAACAAAAAGGGAATTAAAAAATGGAACTCCTTACTGTGGTACTAACCATCCTAGCGGATGGGGGATTTGTCCTACGGTGCCGGGCGACAGTGGGTAATACGGAGATATATCTGGAGGGTGCGGAGGCCGTGGGATTCCTGGGGGAAGAAGCGGCATTTTAGGCACAAAGGAGGAGAGAAGGAAAGAGAAAATGCCAGGGGCTGGGAATAGGGAAAGGAGAACGGAGACCTCTCTTCTATGAGCAGAGCTAGTTCGACATTCTTTCCATGACTATGACCGTTAAGAGTTGCGGGTAAGTTTCGTTCAGCATCTCTCCCCGCCCTACCTTGACCAATAGGTTTATCTCCTTCTAGGTGGATGGGTACACGGGGTAAACGCAGACCCTGAAAACACCATCTTGGGTATTTCTGCCTTAGGGGATCAGTGTGATTATTGAAACTAAAGGAAAACCTGAAGGGCTTGGCACACAGTAGGTGATCGAGTCATGTACATTCTCTTTGCCCTCCCAGCTTGGGCCTCCACTCCTTTTAAGTCTGATGACCTGCCTGCACCAGAGTCACCTCCTCTAGGTTTCTAATAACGCCTTTTCAGTTATGGCTTTTGGAAGGGTGACTCTTGCCTTCTTTCAAAAAAGGTAACTCTTCTAGAATGTCTCCACCTCAGCTTTGAGGATGAGCTGTGGCAGAAACTCACAAGCCACGGCATCTTCTCTAGGGTAGGATCTGAACTGAGCAGACCAGCGGGCTCGGGTCTAGAACCTACTTCACTAGAGGCAGTCAGCTGGGAGAAGCAGCCCTAGCTGCTGACCAGGGACGGCTCCGTCCTGAGAGCTGGGAACGCTCACGTGGCATAGCTGAGCACATCCTGAAGGCCTGAGCCACGCCACCGCATACTTACTCCACAGGAGCACATCCTGCACTCAATCCTGAGCAAAGCAAGAGCACTGGGAGCAATTCTGACACAGAGGAACTGATCTAAGCAGCTGAACTGGGAAGAAAACGAACGATACTACAGAAGTAACACAGTATTGGAGGTAATGAGCTGCGTGTCTGTGGATGAAAACTATTCCATTTTTTTTTTTTTAATTCATTCAGGAAGCTTTTAATCTGTAAGTTAAGTCTCCCTAGGTGACATTTTCATGCAGACATTGCTTTCTCTCTATTACAAAAACCAAACAGATTAGCTGGTCTTGGACCCTACACCAAGCCATTTGCACACTTGAAAGAATGTTCGCAGAGGAAAAGTAAACAGTCTGCAGACGTTAATCATATGTTTTACGATAACCATTTAAAAGCTATTCCCTGTACTACCATTATTTAAATGAGACGCTGATGCTGCCATTCACTCGCAGAGCCTGGGGCCGGCTGGCGGCCTCCTCCAGCCATCCAAGCACCAGGCTGGGTCCCCCACGAGCACAAAAGGGGCTCAGAGGCTGGTGAAAACCAGCTCATGTGTGGCTTCATTCAGGGGCAGCGAAGTCTGCATGAACGGGCAATCTACCTCAGCTCAACACCAAACAATCCCATCTGATGAAGCGACACGGAATAGCCACTGAAAATTCATCCTTCTAATTAACTAGCTGGTTAGAGAGACCACAGCCAGTGTATAGACCGGGCCTGTCCTGCCCTTAGCTGTTCTCCCATGACCATCCCACTAGGAGCTGTGGCCGGCTGCTTGTTTGAAATCTGGTTACAGGGAGGGTTACAAGTAACCCTGCCCTCTCTTTCCCTCTTTGGGGAGAAAGTAGTCAATGGGTACATGGGATGGAAGGGAGAGGAAAAGCGTAAAGGCTGAAGGATGACGTAGCACCTTCCGCCTGAGACCCTACTGGTTGTTCCACAATGGACTTGTTTTTCACATCTGTATAATGGGCTTGGTGATACCCAGGATACTGTAGGAGAAGAGGAACCCACATAAATCAGCAAAGACGACACGGGACCCAGTGATGTGCCACCAAGAAGTCATCATCAAGTGACTGGAGTCCCTCAGCCGCTAAGGGAACCAGGGCTTTGGGGAGCCATGCTCGTAGGGCTCCTGTATTCCCAAGTTGCTGAGAAGGAGGCCACGAGATGCCTCCAAGCCTGTCTGTGGCTCTTGGAGTTAGTTATAAGCTACCCCTGAAAAACGGTGTGGGATTCATAGCCAGCCCTTCTGGGGGTATTCAGAGCTCTAGAAAGATTGTTAGTGCTATACATGGGTTTCTAAGGACAGAGGAAGCTACTCCCTCACCAGTCTCTGGCCTCCCCTAGGAACTTCTCAACACCCACGAGAGGAACAGGAGTCCCTCCACCGTTGCCCGCAGCCCACCCCAAATCCCAGCAGGTCAGGCGGCCCCAGACCCAGCCTGCACTCTTGGCACCAAGTGCTCGGCCTACCTGTTTTGGGGTCTACGTCAGCTGGTAAGTGTGGAGGCGGGTTTCCCGGGGTGAAGTGCTCATTGCTGTACGTGATGAGCGGCGTGAGAGGGTGAACATGGTGAGGGTGCTGGACGACTGGCACTTTGTTCGACTGTGGGCGGGAAAGAAACAGAGAAGGACACCATCAAGCTGGTTCCTGGCAGCTGAGACTTCCAAACCCAGGACCCGGGCCTCCCGGGGCTCCCGGGGCCACGTCCTCCCGCCCGGATTCTGTAAGATGTGCTCCATTCCACCCGCAGCCCCAGCCCCCGCCCATGTATTAAAAACAACAGATATTTGTAAAGACCGTTCTCTGGGTAGGCACACTTCCGTTTTTACCTCCCTACGGAGCCCGGCTTTAAAAATACCTCCTCCACCACCACCCCATCATGGAGCCCGACTGCGCTTTTCCATCCGGCAGGTATATCGGACGTGGGGACTTCAATTTACCAGGCCTACTGCATTCCTGCATGTTGGGGGGGAATCCCTGACCCCAGGGCTCCACCGGAGGGACTTTCAGGAGGCAAGCAGACTTCCCCGGGAACAGGCTGGGAACACCTTCCCTTACAAGAAACGCGGCAGGGCCCGAGTCCCACCCACCCAGCCTCCCCTATCCACCACCCCTGGCTCCTAACTGCTCCCTGCCCCTGGGAACCAGCGGGCCTGCTATGACCCTTTGCAGGCAGCACAGATGAAAAGCTCCACTCCTGGTCTGGTTGGGAGTGTGAACTTTACCAGAAGGCCCTCAACTGCCAGGCAAGCACCTGCATATTTTATGCAGATTACAGCAGCCCTGATTCATTAGGAATTTCATTAGCAAGTCATGGGGGAATGCTAATAAATTAACTGGATGATGATAAATTGGGTTAATAAAAGGGGTGCAGTTTAGAAACGGGCAGTTCTAGCAAACCAAGTACAAGCATTTTTATGTTCAGGAAAGGTGGATAGGTAGAAAGAGCAGGAAAAAAAGAAAAAAAGCATTTTGAAGATTTTTTCTAGTTGCCATGACCAGACCTTCCCAAATTCTTCTCCTCTTCCCCCACCCGCCCCCTCTCAGCCCACCCCACCCCCTCCACTATGCTGTGCTGTAACTTAGCCCAGCAAGACCACAGAGAAAAAAATGAAGCCGAAACAAGCGAACTACTGGGCCATTTACTGAGAGTAATCCAATTGCAAAAAAACCCTATTCCCCATAGAGGATTTTCACTAAAATCCTACAACAGGGACATTTAACCAGATTAGGTACCAGCAAAGATAAAGAGGCTAGTATTAGATGATGAATGGATTAGAGTCAAGTTTCATTTCAGAACGTGTCTTCATTTCCTTTTATTACTTTTAGGAAGGCACAACTTGCATTAACATCAAGGAAAAGGAATTGCATTACAAGGAAAGAAGAGAGGTTTCAGTGCTGCCCACTAGTGCCTCTCGAGTTCAGGGACCACCGAGCACTTAGTTTTGCTTTGCGTTTTTCTTCTTCTTCTTTTTTTTTTAAACGAGTAAGGAAGGGGTATAATATACAAAGAGCATTTCTCACCCCCAGCTAATTGTGGGGAAGGCATCTCTACAAGGGGCTTCTAACTTTCATGAGCATGTTTGGAACGTAAAATACGGCCTTCCTCCATATGCTCCAGAAAAAACTACAGAAAAAGAAGTCAACACTTGCAACAGCCTGGTTTAACGATGCTCATAAACAACTGGACACTTTCAGAGAAGGCTAGCTAGTTGCTCAAAGAGCCTTATGTTGTGAATTACCAGTTTGCAATCAAAGCACTGAAATGAAAAGCGCCAAAGCCAAGGGAGCTTTGGTCACACCTCCCTAGCAGCCCTGAAGGTCTGGACAAGGCCAAAGCCAGCAGAGTGAAGGAATACTGCCTCAAGGCCAGGGCCAGCATCTTATGGACACGTACTGAGGATTCTTTGGGGGGAACATTTCTGTATTGAAAAGTAACCAACAAATGAACTCTTACTGCACGCCGGGGTGGAGAGGGGGAAAAAAAAGGAGAGGTAGGGAGAGGAAGGGACAGGCCCAGTCAGAAGAGCGAAGGCCACCGAGAGGAGAGGAAAAGGACTGCCACCTTCCAGAAGTTTTTTTGTTTGGTTGGAAAGATACACACCTGTGGAAATGAAAGAAGGCGGACCAGTTCCAGACAGTTCACAGTGAGGGTGGAAAAACGATGAGATGGGTAGGAATAGCCACCGATAACCCAAAGCAGGGAAGACCATCACTCAGAGGCTGAAGGGCTGCTGGGGAACAGGACCACCATAAACAATGGAAGGAAGCAAAGGATGGGGGTAGAAGGGCTGGCAGTGGGCAGCGGAGCCTACAATTCTCAGCTCCAGCTGAGTCAAGCTTCTCTCAGGATGCTTGTCCCAAATCTGGATGCCTGAGCCTAGGAAATCTCTCAGCAGGAACCTGATTCAGTGGGTCTGGGCTCAGGACCCAGGCATCTTGAGTCAGCCTACTGAGTGCCAGAGATGGTAGCTCTGTCTGTTTAGCCATGACTCCCAGACTAGAGAACCACATGGGCGCAGACAAGCACAAAGGGTAAGAGGCCCGGGTCCAAACACGAATCACAAATCCTAGTTCTCAAGAAAATCCATGGGAAGAGCTTAGCACAGAACCTACCACATGGTAAACACAGGACTGGTGGTTTACTATTCTTCCTTATTATTTTATCGTTTGGGAGAAGCTGTCCGAAGGCAGAGTTCTGTCTACAGTTCAGAAGCACAAATTCCATGGCTGCCTTCCAAGCAGGACAAACAGGAAATGCGGGGAAAACCTTTCTCTACTTGTCTAGCGAAGGATGAAGATAGAATCTGTGCAACAGTGGTGCTCGCCGGGCATAGGATTTAAAAAAGTTAATTTTCCCTCTTCCTCTTACAAACATGCATGAAGCTCATTCTGACAAGAGTTGGACACCATCACCTTCATGTTATTTTGCACACCTGAGTCTAGCCAACAGGTTTTGTTTCCGGTCCAGTTGGACTCTACAACATGGAAGGGGGTGGTTTCGAAGCCACTGCTGCCCAGCTTAAGAAGGGGGAAAATGGCAACCCTATTGGGACATGGTTCTCCCTTCTGATCATGACTGTATGCCAGGCAGGTCCCTAGGAAACCACACGTCTCTCCAGGCTGACCGGTTCCCAAGCAAGCAGGGGAAAGGAACGCAGTCGTCCCTGCAGAGACCAGGGTCCAGTCGCGATTCCCATACGACCTGCATGTACCTGTGCTGCCACTGTGCATGGGAGGATGTTCTTCGTGACAATGCCCCATCTCTCCAGCCTGAGGACCCCACAGTCCCTTCTTTCTATGTCCCATCATATCCAGGCTGGAGTCACGTATGTACCTTTCTTGGTCCCACTGTAGCTAAGTTCCTTAAGGACAAAGACTGTGTCTTCTAGAACTGTCTATCCCGTCACGTCCAGCCTATGGCAGTGGTGAGGCTCATAAGCTGCCGAAGAACCACTGAATTGCAACTGCAATCATTAGAGGAAGAGATCTCACAGTCTCATGGATTCACTCCACTAACATGGAGTCTACTCAGAATCATAGAACAAAGCTGGACAGACCTTCAGAAACCAGTCAGTCTTATACTTTATAAGTACAGTGCCTTAAAAATGGTTTTAGAGCCCCAGGGTATATACACAGTGACCAAGAGTGAAGGCTATGAATGCAAGGAAGACCCAGATTGAAATTCTACTTGATCCGCCTAGCTGTGCAACCTGTCTCAGGAGTTTCGTCCTGTCTCTGCAAACTCCAGGTGAGAATGGGGGTCAACCTCAGCGCATCGTTGTGAAAATTAAGGCTCAACACTGGGCTTGGCACAGAGCTACCCATGCAATACAAAAAAGCTGTGAAAAATACTGTCCAATGAGTACTAATGAGGAAGGTGGGGTTGGCCACCCCTCTAGTATGTTCTAATGATATTCCCAGAGGGGACATACATCCACAGACTGCATTCCTTAATTCAAAGGCAAGATGTTTATTACAGGGCCAGAGTGTATGGAAGTTTTGTGGCCACCCTTCCTCCAGTGCATGCGCTTCTGAAAAATGTGATATTTAATTACCAAATATATATATTTTTTATCTATTTTGAGAAAAACCATCACTTTCTCATGCTAGCAAATAAGAAAGCCTACAGAAGAGTTCTAAGTTTAAATAAGAAGAGCTAGAGATGACCAAGGGCCTTCCAGAATCAGGGTGAGGGCCTTGAAGTAGGAGTTCATATAAGTGAAACACCAACCAACCCAAATAGGAAATGCCCCTTAGATTTTCCCCTTCCCTCCGATCGGTGCCCACTTCTTTAAAGAGGTCTTTAAGGATTGTGTTCAAAACTGTTACCACCCTAAGAAAAGTCAACGGTGAAAAGTATCTTTCCTGGGGGAAGGACACAGACAACCTTCCGGAAATGATCCAGGGAATCTAAATGAAAGCAATAATCTATGCTGGTGGGATAATAGCCAGAAATATGCCTCTCTCCTCCTTTTATCTTTTTATAGACAAGAGTCCACTATTCAAGGCAAACAACTGCAACATGGAACCAGGTACCTTTTAGGTAACTACCTTATCTAAATATTAAGTAGGTCTTCAAAACTGCCTAGGGGGTGCAAAATCATTACCTCCAGTGACAGCTAACCAACGTTCAAGGTCGGGAGAGTTGCATGGAGAGCCTAGTTACCTGCATCTAACCCTTTAGGAACAGGTTGAAACTTAGGACTCTCCGAGGCACAGAAGCAGCAGGCGTGAATAAAACATTGCACAGACGGTCTGGGAGTTACGCTACCATTGCCCATACGCACCCACGCCATTGGCACCTGGCACTCACCCCTGGAACCACCTAGAACCCTTTGTTTAGATGATCCAAGGGGAGAACAGGAGACAGGAGCCCTGACCAGCTGCTGGTCCCGAAGCTCTGCAGTCAACCCCAGCACAGCTCACCACTGCCACCTTTGAATGCAGCCTTACCACTGAACCTGCCGTGGAGCTGGGTGGGACGTACTTTATTAGGTCCTCACAGCGCACCTATATGTACCTGGCACTTCTTTAGTTCCACACAGTAGGTGTCCCAGGCCCCAGGCCTTGGGAAGGCGGCGTTTCCAGGGCTTCACGCT